TTTACTCACCGCTAAATGTGTCAAGTTTTCTAAAAGTCTTCTAAAAACTGACTTTTAATAGTAGAAGAAGTCCTGGAAATTTAGCTTTAAAATAAAAGTCTGATGCGTTTATGTCACTGCTGGCAGGTATTTTACAGGTAACCATGGTGTTTGATGACTGTGTGATTCTAAGCTCCTATTTTGTTCCTGTTTTCAGCAAAATAGAAAACTCACTCCTTCATCAGATGCTGGAAGTGCATGAAGACTCTTGTGCTCACTCTTGTAGCCAGCGTTTGCTGAGTTGCACTCGTAGCTCAGACGTTTTAAAGTTAGCAGAAAGTTAGTAAAGCTGGTCAACGTAGAGGACATACAGACAGCAAACACGGCTTTATTGAAACAAAACAAGTTTTATTCATGTTAAACAGAATCAGATACAGTAGCACATCACGCCAGCAGCAGACACAGAGCTGCAGAGTCCAGCGGGACCCTGAACGCACCACCACACGCCTATAAACCGTCTGAGTTCAGCTCTGCGTCGGCAAACTGGGAACCAGCATAAAGTTCAATCTGAGGGGATAAAAACCAGTTAGAACATAAAGGAGGGGGGTCTCATGTTTCAGACACTGCTGCTGCTTCACACAGCTTATTGATTATCTGTTAAACATGACGCTGCACCGGTGATCGGAGCGCAGCCGATCAGCTCCATTATTGATTAGCCTGCTTGACGTGGTTCTCCACACGGTTTCCTGTTTCATCACAAACATCTGAGAATGTGGAAAGCAGCTGCTGATCAGATTGATCGCCGCAGCCAACGATCAATCAACTGATTAATCAGTCGATCAACTCAAAACCGATCAACTGAAAGTCCTGTGAAAAGTCCTGAGTCGGTCAGACGAAACGAGGTTATTGATCAGCAGGATAATCAGTAATGAAGCTTCCGCAGTTTGTGACGACAAAGACTGTGATGTCATGATGATGTCATGATGATGTCATGAGTAGGAGCACCAGCAGGTATCTGAGACACACGCACGCACACACACAGACACGCACACACACACAGTTGGTGTGAACAACATAAATTAAAGTTTTCATATAAAATAATCTACAGGATCTTTCTGTCGTATCGACTTTAGAAGGATTTTTGTTTTTCTGTGCAGCGTTCATAAAAACTAACTCATGCTGACGCCTCAAACAACATTCATATGTACAAACTGTGCAGGTTTGGCTTCCTGTCCGAGATCCGCTGACACCGAGCCGGACGTCACCCGTTTGTGGTTCCGCACAGGTGAGTCGATTCACCGTCAGCAACCAATCAAACGTCCCGTCAGCCCCAAGAGGCGGGGCTAAACGTCGGGTGTCAGGTTACAGCTCTGACACGCAGCGACGCGTCTAAACGGCTTCCGGCAGCACAACTGCTTAATATGAAAGTCTGAAACGTCCAAAACATGTGGACCAGCTGCTGCCGACAACACCTGGAGGTTTGCGATGGAACAAATGAATGGCAACGACGTGACCGGCTGATGGATTAAAGTTTGTGAAGCAGTTAAAGCAGAGCGACGAGTCTTTCGCCGTCGCAGCAGAAACAAAAACTACACGTTTCCTGAGACGCTTTAAAATCCACCAAACATCTGGAGCCTCAAACCCGACACACAGGTGAGGATGGAAGGACATGTCGATAAGAAGAAACAGAAATCTGTGTTTTAAATCAACTCCAACGCTTTGATTTTTTTCTTCAACCTGGTTTCACAACATGAAGCATCAGATTTTTTAGTGTTTCTGATTTAGAACCAACACTGAATCATTTTCTTTCCTCGCGTTTCTTCTCATTACGCATCACATTTATCTTGTTACTTGTGCAAATAAATAAAAACATTTATTGACGTTCGGTTCCGTGCTTGACTCCGTTTCGTCGGTTCTGAGGCTCAGAGTCAGAAGGAACCACAAACAGGGAGGAGGAGGAGGAGGAGACGGAGTGAGAAAATAAACACAGACGGATAAAGACATGCTTTAAATATTCACTGCAAACAGGGGAGGCTGTTTCTAATCTTCATATTCTGAGGGACTCGGGTTAAATCTAAAACCGTTTAATGCAGCCGATCAGCTGTCGGAGCGTTTTTTTTAGTGTTATTGACGAGCGGGCCGATTGACTCTGGGTCTTTGGTTTCTGATGAGGACAAACTGGACGATGTTCTCGGACTAAAAAACAAGAAATCGATTGTCTTTGACTCCCATTCAGATGTTTAGAGCAAATCCAATGAGGGTAAAATTTAAAATCAGAAATGATCTTGACGGAGTGACGTTATTTTTTCCAGTTAATCAATAAATAACTCAGCTGATAAAACCTCAGAGACCAGTTTCTGACAGCGGCGCCTTCAGACGTCTCGTTTTGTTCTTCAGCAGCAGGAGAACGATTCTTGAACGGAGTTTGGTGACCGACTGCTGCTCGGACCCAACGAGACATCTGAAGACGTCGGCACGCAGAAGCTCTCTGATGCTCTACAGACAAAAAGGTTTTGTGTGAAAAGCGATTGTCCTGTTAGAGGATGAACACACAGCCGCGTCCACAGCTGATCCTGATTCCACCTGTAGACGCCTGTTTTCCACCGATACTGAGAACTGGTGACGTATGAACCAACGGGCCGCTCTGCTGCCATCAGGCCGTTTGTATCTCCCACAGTTTGTCGTGACAGAATCAGACGTCAGGAGAAGGAGCGGGCCTCCTGTCCGGATCAAAACCTGATGATTGGCCTCCGGGCGCCGGTGATCGATACAGTACATGTAGTAATAATAATCTGTATTTACACAGCAGTGATACAGACATTCTGCTTCGTATTGGCATCATTCAGAGAAAGTCGCCCTTTTTAAACTGAAGTCTCGTCATTATACAAAAAGTCTTTTATTCTGAAGTAAAAAAACAGGAGGTGATGTCAGAGGGCGGAGTCTGTCTGTGGCGTCGTCCTCCGCCACCACCAGGTCACCTGACCGCCCCACAGGTCACCTGGCCTGAGACTAAAACCGGCTCCGCTCTGATTGGTCCTCAGCCTAGTCATAGGCTCGACTCTTTGGGCGGGTAGTCCACGTTGGTTACCATGGTGACGACCGTGACGATCTCCTCGGGCGCCGTGACGTTCGTCTGCCGCTGCATCTGCACGATGCGCTCCTCAACGCAGCCGGCCGACAGACGGGCCTCGGCCTCGTGGTCCCAGCACTCCTCGATGGTCTCACACAGAACCGCCAGACCCTGCAGGGCGACCCGAAGGACCACAACACGGGTCAGTCAGCAGAACAGACACCAAAACATCAACAACAACAGTCAGAGTGGTGCATCATGGGTAACGCAGTGCTGTCAGTGTGCCGTGGTGCATCATGGGTAACGCAGTGCTGTCAGTGTGCCGTGGTGCATCATGGGTAGTGTAGGGCCACTCACAGTGTGTTTCTGCCAGCACTCCCGGAGGGTCGGCCTCTGCTTCTTGTGGACCACCACCTCCTGCATGTCCTCCAGAGACGGGTGTGGACCCACCTCTTCCTCAAACGGCAGCCGGTACTCGTCCACCGGACCTGGACAGAGACAGAAGGACATCAGAGTCCACAGCAGAGACAGAACCAACTCCATCAGGACGGACTCCATCGTGTTTCTTACCGTCAGCAGCTTTGCAGCGCGAGGCGAGCTCCCACAGAACCAGGCCCAAAGCGTACATGTCTATCCTCAGGAAGGCGTCCCTCTGGAAGTTGATGGCTCCCTCCAGAACCTCAGGGGCCATGTACCGCCTGGTCCCCACCTGACAACACATTCACAGCCGGGTTAAAACTCTGGACCCTGTGAGACCGGAACAATCTGCCAGCCTGCCTGAGCTGCGGTCCATAAATCTGACAAGGCTTCGTGTCTGTCAGCTGTTTGCAGGAATGAAGCAGGAGAACCAGAACCAGCAGAACCTGAGACCTCCTGTTAACGACCTGCTGACCGCTGCTTCAAAGGGACGCCTGCTGAGAAGCTGCAGTTCATCCAACAGCCACCGGCCTCCTTTATGGTCACAGTGACCGACACAGGTGAGCTCACCTGTCCATGTGTGTCTCCTGGAGATTTTCCCGCCTCGAACCGGAGAGCGAGGCCGAAGTCGGCGATGCAGGCCGTCAGGTTGGACTTCAGCAGGATGTTCTTACTCTTAATGTCCCTGAAAAGACACACAGAGTGAGAACTCCCGTCTGTAACCTGAGTCTGAGCACACCTGTATACGGAGGTGATATTGTAGTTTCCTGAGCTTGTGGGTCGCTGAGCAAAAACTTTCATGATGGCCATCCATTAATATCTTTGTATGCACTGACAAATCTTTGTACACTTCGACAAATCTCACACAGACACACAGACTGATAAACAGACACACAACTCTCCATGCACATTTACCAATAGTTTTGCTATAATAATACCTCCATACCTGTATACCTGCACCTGTGTGTGTAGTCGTACCTGTGTGCGATGGCGGGTTTGTGTCCGTCTTTGTGTCCAGGTATGTCTTCGTGCAGGTAGGCGAGGCCTCGAGACATCGACTGAGCGATGAGACACAGCTCAGACCAGGACAGGATGTTGGCCTTCAGGTAGTCTGACAGAGAACCCTGAGGACGGACAATAAACTGAGCTCCAACATTTCACTGGATGATGGTTTATTAGTTGTTTTACTATATTTACCACTTTTTGTCTTTTTTTTTATTACAGATCAACAATGAGGAGTACAGACTAAGACTTCAGATAAAGCCTGTGCCTCTCACGTCGACCACTCTGAGCAGCAGTGAGGCTGCGGTTCGGCCTCCGGCCAGCGGGGGGTGCTGTTACCTTCTCATGGTAAGCGGTGATGAGCCACAGCTGCAGCTCCATGTTGATGCTTCTCTTCTCGGCGCCGATGAAGTGCAGCAGGTTTTCGTGTCTCATCCCGCTCAGGTTGTAGATCTCGTACTCGTTCTGCCACGACTGTCGGTCCTGCAGGGACGCAGACAGGAAGTCAGAGGTCATGTGACTTCAGAACAACGTTTACTTTATAGAACAGTTTTTAAATAAAATGTAAACACTCTGACGTCAAAACATGGCTAAAATACATTTGCAAAATTTCTTTTTTTTAACCTACAGATGAAACTGTTAAGGTCTAAAACTGTAAAAATATTTCCATAATTAGATAAAATTAGTGAAAATATACAAAAAAATAAGTGTTTCTTCCATTTTACATAGATGTAAGAGATATCTTTCATAATTACAGCAGTTTTGACAACAAAAATATTAAATTATTGTATTTTTATTAGTTTATAACAACTATAAGCATTGAATTTAACAATAAATCAGTCTAAATCAATATATCTATCAAATATTAGTGGTAGTTTTATAGCTTTTACATGTGTAAATATTCTTCATTAAACATTAAAAAGCAAACATGTGATCTTGTCTAATTGAAGCTAGAAAATGAGCTGTAATTATGGACAGCTGCTGTATTTTTTCAGATATTATTTTGCTTGTTCTGAGTTTCTAGACTGACATTCCTGTGCATTTAGAGAAGCAATTTAGTGTTTTGGATTTCTAGTTTTCCTCTTTCTTGAAAACATGCTGAACTGTTACAGGTTTCAGTATTTTTCTATGTGCATATATTTTTTTCTACTCACAGGAGAGTTTTTTCAATGTCACTATTTTCCTTCATACAGAATGATTCTTAATACTTTGTGACTTTCTACAGCCAGTTGAAATGTTTTAATGTCTACATACGGAAGAATCTGCACAATATCAACAGGCTGATGCTGATTTGACTGATATTCCTACATGACTGCATGTTGGGAGGGTTTTATTAAAAAACAAAGAAGCACTTTAGAAAATACCAATGTTGAAGAGTTTTTTTCAAAATCCTTCAATATCACATCTGAATATCTACATATGGAAGAAACTGTACAATATCAGCAGATCTTATGGATATTATCTTGTTTATTTTTCCTACACGTTTGCAGCGTTTTATTAAAAATTAAAAAGAAGCCGTTTAGTATTTTGTATTTCTTGTTTTGTCTTTACTCTCCTTATTAATGACGCCAACAGTAAACACACTACTTTCCCACATTTAGAATAATTCTGTTCAGTATCGTTACGTTGCACATTCAGTGGATATGTCTGAATGTCTACATATGGCAGAAACTACAGCATACATCACTGTCTTGTTTATGTTGTGACTGATGCTCACACATGCTGCTCTGCTGCTGTAACGCTGCACTTGTCCCCACTGTGGGATTAGTGAAGGATTATCTAGCCGTCATTCTGTAACTAAAGATTTTTTAACCTTATTGTGCTGCTGATGCTCTCATCATGTATTTAAACTTTACTATTCAGTGATGTGCGTGTATGCAAAGCGTGCTTTGAGGTGCTGCACACTAAATCTACGATGACACTAAAGCCATGTGACTGGCAGACAGACCGACCTGAATGGGGAAGATCTTGACGGCCACGTATTCGCTGAGCAGCTGAGCCTTCCAGACGTGGCCGAAGCGCCCCCTGGCTTTCACCTCCAGCAGCTGCAGCGGCTTCTGTCCCAGGATGGGTGACGGCGGCAGGGGTCCGGGGTCCTGCAGGAGACAGGTGACGACAGGTGAGACAGCGGGGACACACCTGGTTTCGCCTCCGACCGCTCTGTGAGTTAACTTTTTCCCACAGAGTGTCAGAGTGAACCTGCCGGGAGGCTGATTCACCTCCTGCAGGGTCTGCTTCATCACTCATGCATCATCACCATTATCCACAGAGCAGACAGAACAAACACAACGTCCGTCCATCAGTGCACAAACACGACACCGACCACCGTCACAAGGCAGAAAATGGAAACGGAAAACAAAACCACAGCGAGGGAGAGTGTCTGCAAAGAAACGTCGGGCTGCGAAGATGCAAAATTAAAATCTGGGAGAAAAGAAAGATGTGATGGAGCATTCTCAGTGAGGCCGCGCCGGCGTCTGGGTTTTCTTACCTCGATCATGATATGAAAGGCGTGCTGAGAGGCAGAGAGACAAACACTTTACAGGCTGAGACGAAGGAAGAGCAGCAACAGCACATAGAGCAGAGACTCGGCCGATCTGAGAGCTTCACCAGACCTCCTCCAGTTAAACGAGTCAGAGCCTTCATCCACACTAACGTCAGTGTGTTTAATGAAGCCATGCAGAGTTTTACCGTCACGCTGTGAATGTTTCCAGAGCTACAGGCCCGTATAGTACGGAGAGGAGGTTTTTATTTAATTGTTCCCAGTACAGCAGATAGACACGTGAAACTTTAAAGGCTGATTTGAGATCTGTTAAAAACTGTGAAGACAAATTGTAGGCTTCATATCGTATTGTACAATTATTAAAAAATGACTGCCAATGTTGGGTCAGCCCGTTTCTCCA